TTTCTCGCTTGTGGAACTCTCTTATGGCTCCATAATTTCCACACAACTTTCATCTCCAAAGATTTAAATGCAATTTCAATCGCTATCTACTGCTCACCTGCTTACTCTTTTCCCTTTCTGCTCATTAGTTTCTGTTCCTAAGTCTTAGTGGCTTTACTCTCTTGCTTGGGTTGAAATCGATTAAGAATTCGATGATTAATTTGCAGAGTTGATGTGGAACTAAATTTTTTGTCATTTTGGCATCTGATCGCCATGGACTTATATGTTGTTTGATGTCAGTGGTTGTTGAATTTCTATTAAATCATAAACACTATTATTGGTTTTGGTTTTTCTTTATTGAAATCAAATATATAGTGTTTCTGAAGTGGTAGGAATTCCAGTAAAAGTTCTTTCAAATATATCATCACGTTAACTTAAGATTGAGGAAGTTAGCTGGAATAAATGTGCTAATTCGAAAGCCAGGTGAAAATTGGAACGTTGAACAAGTTCAGTTTAGTCTCAACGAGCCAAAACTAATTTTGAATTTCTGTAGGCAAAGAAGTGATAATAAACACTCATGGTAAAATAAAATGAATTATATTCTATACTAAATTCAATATAATGAATTTAATGATTCTTAATGACTCCTCCCCACTAATTAACGTGTTACAGAAAACCAACATTATATATAAATTTAAATGTCCTTTGGGAGATTGTACTTTCAACAGAAAAAATAAAATATATGTTGGTCACACTACAACTACGCTGTCAAGATCGTTGAGTTTTCATTTGTAAGATGAATCTAAAATCTCTCAATATTTGCAAAATCAAATCTGACCACATTCGCAATTTAGAAAAATTCTTGTCGAAAATACTTCTATACTTTTTCATGAAAATAATAAACATAAACTTAAAATTCTTGAAGCTATCTATATTTAACAATTAAAAATAACCTTAAATAAAATGAATTATGAATACTACACAATTTTTTAAAAATGTTTGTAGTAGGTAGTTTAATATACATAGATTATCACTAATAGCTTTAAATAGTTTCTTTACATAGTGTAATATCTCATTAACTTAGTTAAATCCTTTTACGTTACTGCACTTGGATGTTTACATCATAGCATTTAAAAATTGTAGAGTACACAAGTTTAGCGTTTTTCGCTTCATAGATAAAAAAATAATTTTCAGATGAACACAGAAATTTCTTCTTAGCGAAAACAAGACACTGAAGATGAAATAGTGCCCATGTTGAAATTACTGAGGAATAAAATGGATATCCATCAACATGGTAATTTTTTCTTTCTTCATTTAATAAGGATACTAAGAAACTTGTCCGTAAATGTGAGAGGATCCTATTAATAATAGACAAAAGTTGTCTAAATTATTTAATGAGACATGTCTTAATGAAAACATGCTCTCAAAATATACACAATAGATATATATATATATAGAGAGAGAGCGAAAGGGATAGTGAGAGAGAGATAGTGAGATAGAGAGATGTAGATAACTATTTTAGCTTAATTCTGGCGTTTCCATCTTCCAATGATGTCATTTATGTTGTTCATGATGATGGTCGTCTTTGAGTATAGAATCCAGAGGTTAGCAGTGAATATTTCGAAGACAGTAGGGAAGCGTAGTTCAGAGGAGGCACGGTGGAGTAATGGATAGCGGCTTGGATTGAGGAATTAGAGAGCCGATTTCGAATTCCAGTCGAATCCATTACTTTCACTTACGTGCTAACACCCTTGGGAAAGGTGTGAATCCTCTTTCTTCTCCCTCCAGCTATGGGTAAGTAGCAGGACAGACTGGGTTCTATAGCCTTGGATGGCAACTGGTCTAGGAGAAGGAAAACTGAATTCAAACCTGCTCTTAGAGGAGGGTGAATGGAGTCTCTCTGAGCCTTGGTTGGCAATTCATTTAGTGTTGGTGTCACAATAAAAAACACCCTTGATAGCCCTAGCGAAGCATCAAGAATTCAGCTATTTGACAAGATTATAAACTACACCAATCAAAGTATTGGTGAGTTCAATCTCGGCTGAGGCCGCAAGATGATGAGTTCAGGTTAGCAAAGCGTAGTTCGTCTTTCTGTTTCTCTTCGCCTGAGAAGCTGGAACTAGACATTTGGGTAGGATAAACAAAATGGCCGTCTTTATACACAACGGATTGAATATTCTGCGTCTTCTAATTGGTTAACCTTCTATTGGTGGACTATAAAGTGAGTCAAGTCATTTGGATTGGCTCACTAGTACATAAACTGCAACAATCTATACGGTTAAATTGGATATGTGTATTCTAATTTTTGTATACACTCTTCAATATAGGTTCCCCTATGGAGAAAGATACCTTAATTAATGTTGGTTGCTCCTCGTTTATTTACTACACATAATGCATCATTTACCGGCATGTATAAGTAGTCGAGACAATACACATAGTGTTTAAGCATGAAACTGACTCTCGCTTCTAGGAGTTGACCTCAGTGTCCATATATATATATATATATATATATATATATATATATATATATATATATATATATAAGAAAAAATATACTGAAAAAACAAACAAAATCCTAATATGCGATTATGCTGTTTTAATGTTTAATGTCAACGTCGGACGTTTCGGTCTAATAGACCATCTTCAGGATATATTCATAAAATATAATTAACATAGACCATAGACAATTCAACATGAAAAAGACGATGGACGTAAAAGTAATACCAATCCAAAAAGATAACTGAAATCTTTTATAAGATCAGCGTTCCGTTTAAATATGATCACGTGGCGATGTTGTGAAAACGTATTCCTAAAATTTGAGTATTTTGAATGAAAAACGAAAAGAATTTTATTTTGATCTAAAACTTATATGTACGTTTGTCGAGCATTAATCTTGCTAGAAAAGGGGAAATATTAAAGAAGCCAGGTCTAGTGTTCACCGTGAGTGAGATAGATATTATGCCTGCTTCATAAATCCGCCTAAGATTTTTATTATGAAAATATTTTAAAATCTTCACAGAATGAAAATCGAAATTATGATCAGCTTTAGTTGTGTGTACAACTAAAGCATTGTTTAAATTTCTGAGGCGAATATCTCGTTTATGTTCGAAAACACGAGATTTTACGGGCCTACATGTTTCACCCACATATTTTAAGTCACAATTGTTGCATGAGATTTGGTAGATGCAAGCATCGGATGCAATATATGACGTTGACATTAAAAATTAAAACAGCATAATCGCATATTAAGATTTTTTGTTTGTTTTTTCAGTATATTTTTTCATACTGTCGGATCTATATCCATATATTTGCTTATATATATATATATATATATATATATATATATATATATATATATATATATATATATACGATTAAAACAAGAGAGGGTCCATGTGTGCTTCTTATAACATTTAGATTTAATATGCCGGTTATTTTTCTAATTGTTCTCAAGGTATTGAGTAGAAATAGTTGCGGATACAAATGCAGTTACTTATAGCTGATGTATAATGTTGATTGTTGATATATTTAATCATAATTTATTATTAAATATTTTAGTATTACATTTTTTGATTGTATGTGTGCATTCGTAGTTTGTTAATTTGTTTATTGTTACAACAGTTTCCAGAATTTTGAGTCCTTTTTTTTTGCATTGAATCCCCAAGGGTTTAAAGGGCGTCGCATTGAGTGACCTGAAATTCGTTCCAGCAATCATATATATATATATATATATATATATATATATATATATATATATATATAATATTATAAATTGATTTATTTAAAATATGTTTTTTCGCTACACAGTTCTAACCATGTTTCAAAAATGGAAGCTAAAAGCTACGAATTTAATTTTGTAATTAGATAAAAGACATTAGTTCCATTTCATTCTCAAGCGAATTTATTTACATTGAGCACTATTTTGTAAAAATAAAATATCTATAAGAACACCGGATTATATATCTTACTGTTCTTTCTTTTTTTATTTATATATACATGTATATATACATATATATATATATATATATATATATATATATATATATATATATATATATATATAATCTATTCGAATATTATAACATACATATGTTATAAAATCACTCAAAAATACCCATTTTGTTTCAACACTTCTGGTGTCTTATCAAGTGATGAGGTTTAATGTAGAATAAAGAATATTTGCTCTACTGAGTATTGAGCACTCTTTTAAGAATAGTATTTTTGGGTTATTGGTATTTATTCCGTATACACCAATCCTATACTTGGTGAGTATATATATATATATATATATATATATATATATATATATATATATATATATATATAGTGTAACCCGGATATAAGAGAGTTGTCGGGACCGGAGAAGCAGTCTCTTATATCCTGGTTTCTCTTATATCCAGGTTTGGTCTATTTTATATACATTAACATAGGCTCTAATTTGTGACCAGAGAAAATCTCTCTTATATCCGGGTTTCTCTTATATCCGGGTTACACTGTATATGTGTGTGTGTGTGTGTGTGTGTGTGTGTGTGTGTGTGTGTGTGTGTGTGTGTGTGTGTGTGTATTATTTGGGACAATCTTTTGATTATAATTCATTCTTACTATCATCAGAATTCGGTAACGTTTTCCTTCCATTTGGCTTTTTACCAAGTTTTAGAAATTTCGATTGAGACATCATCGCACGTTTGGAAATAAACATTATAGAAATATGTTCTACTCACTTTTGTCTGGCCGCTGTCTGGCTGAATCTGAAGATATCTGATATTGTGCTTGCCATGTTCAGAATTAAAGGACACAAGTGCTATTGTGCAGTTAGTCCAAATAACAACAGAGAAGTGAATGAACCAACTTTACTCCCGACTTAAGAAAAGAATACAAGAGAGAAGATGAAACTAGGGAAAAAATAAAAGATTGAAAAAGAAAAAAAGAAACGAGTATAAAGCGCAGGTAACACAAGCGAAGGTGAATGATTCAGAGTGAATAAGAAGGAACCAACAAGAAGAGATATGGAAAGAAAGAAATCAAGAGCTAATAGCTAATAAAGAGGAAAAATAGATAAAGGCGGGAGTGAAATGAAGCCAAAAAGATGTATAGGAGATGAAGAAGGGGAAAAGTGACAGGGAATAGAAATAATGGCGACATTGAAGACAGAAAAGAGGAGAGAATAATAGAAAAGTAGAAAAAAGAAATATGGGGGAAAAAGTCGATAGAAAAATGAAAAAAGGATGAATGAAGAAATAAAATACTGAAAGGAAAAGAAGAAGAGAAAGCAGGAAATAATAAGAGAGAGAGAAAGGAGAAAACAAGAAAAATATAGCAAGATTTAATGAAGAGATCAAAAAGAAAAGAGAAATACAAAAGAGACGTGGAAATTGGCATAAAAGAGAAAGCAAATTCGTAGAGAGAGAAAACAAAGAAAAGAAGAAGAAAGGGGTAATAAGAGAGAGAGAGGGGGAGAAAACAAGAAAAATGTAGCAAGATTTAATGAAGAGACCAAAAGGAAAATAAAAACACAAAAGAGATGTGGCAATTGGCAAAAGAGAAAGCAAACCCGTAAAGGGAGAAAACAAGGAAATGGTAATGCAGTTGTAGAAACAAAATAAAGGACAATTTTTCTTCATTTTTCTTTTAAATGGGAAGGGGTAAGCAAATGAAATATTTGTTTGTTTTGGAAAGTATAATGCGGTTTTAGCTCAAATATCCTGTTTGCACTTATTAAGAGGTTTTTAATCTCTGTTTTAATCTATTTACCTAGATAGATAGATAGATAGATAGATAGATAGATAGATAGATAGATAGATAGATAGATAGATAGGTGTTGAGAAATTGCGACAGATAGAGAACAGAATTGAGATAGATAGATAGTGTAATAGAAAAATTGCCCAATTCTTACATTAAACTCTGAACCGTTGTATCTTAGAAATGATAAAAGATATCTTACTGGAATTCTACAAAGGCTTTTATAATACAATTGAAAACGAAAATGACATGTTCATCATTAATTAATCATAGGTAAGGATCGGAAGCTCATGAAGGATTAAATTAAAGTTCAAATATATAGTGATTTTCCAAGCACAGCTTAGATGAGGCATCAGGCCGAAAGTAGGGTCACCCAGTGAGGACTGAATTCACTACTCAGTCGTAATTGTTCTAGAGAGACAAGCATAACCATTACACCACTTCGAGGTGCCCAAAAATATATATATATATATATATATATATATATATATATATATATATATATATATATATATATATATATATATATATTGTTCCAGCATGATTTGTAACTTATTCAAGAGGATCCTCGCCTCTCTAACCTTATAAATTTCTATCCTCGAGGTTTTTCACGCACGATTTCATTTTAAAGTTTTTTTACACTGCTCTTTACACTGTCATAGCTAAGACTCCTCTCACACGTAACGAAAGTTTAATAACTTGAATTGGATCTTTTCTAACTGATCTCTTTAGCTCTAAGTTGAAAAGATTAACCCTCTTCCTATTGTGACATCCTGATCCATTTTTCTTATCTATTGTTCCTTCTTTTTCAAACTTATTCACTACTCTCTTGATGGCTAGTGGATGAACTTTCAAGATGAAAGCCAGAGTATGAATGTTAGTACTATTACTGAAGACCTGAACGATCTTTTTCCTCTTACCATTACTCAATTGGGAAGACAGTTGTTCAAACACAATATATATATATATATATATATATAAATGACAATTGGAAAAAATCTTAGTTTTTGCGGACGTTATCAAGCCAAATAATGAAAGTTAAATATTTTTGTTGCCATAATTACATTAAATCCAAAATTTAAAAGAGAGACGCTGGGAAATTTGACCACACACACACACACACACACACACACTATATATATATATATATATATATATAGTGTTTATATATATATATATGTGTGTGTGTGTGTGTGTGTGTGTGTGTGTGTGTGTGTGTGTGTGCAATGGCCAAATTGTCGCCATTCTCTATTTCTAATTTTGCATATTTGTTTTATGTGGATGATATATCCAGTCAACATTATGGTGTTTGGAGTGAGCACTAGTGATGGCGACGTTATACCCCATTCATCTTTCCACAGACTCTCAGTGTTACATTAATTGCCTTGACGAGGTAGTGCTTTCCTGGTTCAAGGATGTGGCTACTGGAATACACTATGTCTGGCAACATGACTCTGCACTGTACCACACAAGCAGAAGAACACAGTCATGACTGTTAGAGAATTTCTGCAACCTCATCACCCCTTTATATCTGGCTATTTAACTCCTGGCGCTGCAAACCCTTCTTAGTTTTGTGTGGGGTGAAGTTGAGCGATAAACCAACAAAACTCCTTCCAACAACAAAGATGAACTGAAGGCAAGGATTATACCCGCATTCACCAACTGTCCTGAAGAGTTGCAAGAGATTCCGAACCAGTTGTATGTTTAATTCTTGGTAAATACAGAGCGTCCCAAAATAATGTACGCACTCTTTAAATATTAATAGTTAATAATACATTATCGTGATGTGAGAACTTATATTGGTGACAATATGAAAAACAGATGGATTGGAAGAAGAGGGACAGTTGAATACCCACCTAGATCACCAGATTTGAAACCCTTGGATTTCTTTTTGTTGGGGTTCCTAAAAGGCAATATTTACTGCAGGAAACCTGAAACACTTGCTGAAATGAGAGTAGCAATTGAAGAAGAACGTGCTCAAATACCAGAGGAAATGATACTGGACGTTTGCTTGTCTTAAGATATGAAAAGTGTATTGAACAGAACGGCAACCAGTTTGAGCACTTGATATGAATTCATCATTATATGAATATTCTGCTATTGACCCAAGTAGTTTTTATCTTATTAAAGTTAATTTTCTATGTTTTTTGTATATTTTGCTCTCAGATTCTTTAAATGTGTATTCTTTCTCTTCTATTAATCTTGAATAAGTTATAACGATTCAAAGAGTGTATACATTATTTTGGGACACCATGTATATTTGTTAAAATGTCTTAATTTTATTTTTGCGCAATTAGACGACAATTTAACGATCCCACCCTGTATAAAAGACTCTCTCGTCTAACTATAATTTTTACAAGACATGAGAGTCGATCATACATAAAATAGGGAGTTACTTTTCAATCACCCTGTACATATGGAAAGAGAGACCGGGCCTATTTATTATTTTTTCTTCGGCTCTTTCTGTTAATCTATGTATCTATCAAGTAACTAAATGAAAAAAGTGGATAAAATATTTTGTAACGCATTTGATCTTTGAAGAAGACTTCATCGAAATACAGTAATTTTCTTATTTATGGCATTACCGCGGTGTATGGATTTCTTATAACTAATTTAGTACTGCAGATGAAACTGAACATAGAAGAGGCTGCACTCGAGGTAGCTTTGTCCAGCACCGCAAATTGCTACAACACATCAACCTGAGAATATCGCATCATGTTCTTAAATAGCCTCGTCAGATCGAGACTTTCATTTAGATGTCATGGATGGCGCCAAAACCGTTCATAAATATCTAAACTCTCAGCTGTATGCAACCCGATCTCTATATGTATGCGTGTGTGTGTTGGATGTTTCAAATTAATATCCTGTTGCCAACATGTCCTCCAATAAGAACATGATCAGAACAACTAAATACACACACACACACACACACACACATGTGTATACACACACACACACACATATATATATATATATATATATATATATATATATATATATATATATATATATATATATATATATGTAATAAATTCCAGTTGGGTTCGTTATATTGACTTACGCACAAATACAGTTGGGAACAGCTAAAAATTCACTGTAGACCCCGTATAAAACGGGATCGGGTAGCTGTTTCCCAAGACGAGATTCGGCCTTTCGAAATAGCCTTTTCTGGGAGTTTAACCAGCACAGCTGGAGACGAGTCTCTAACTGTAGACCAATATACAGTATTTACTCCTGTATTTATGTGAATGTGAGCATGCCCATTATTTTCCATCGGTAAACTACAACATATTCTAAAGCTGTTGTGTAAGATTTTATTCAGTGATCAGTTAATCTATTCTTTCATCTTTCTAAATATCACAGTCTCTGGTATATATCGGAGGCATTTTTTAAAATTTTAACTACTTTTATGGATAATTTCTAAACGGCCTTGATGTCATACTTTTTTTCTTCTTTTTTTTTGTTTAACAAATTTTGAATTCTGAAATATTAATATTAATTTCCTTTGAAGATTGTTTTCATTCTTGATTCGTCAACAATATTTGTTCCAATGAGTCCGGCACAATTCACTTCGCTGACAGCATGATGATCATATTTCAAATATAAATTGTCTGCCTGTTTAAAATGACCCTAATATATATATATATATATATATATATATATATATAAAGGTAAATGACAATAGGAAAACTGTATTAACCGACGCGTAGTGATTCTATTAGGAAACGTGATATTCGGAAAAAACATGGGCGTGGATTAATATTTAGATAATATTCAATGGCAGCAACAGGATTACTACTCTCCCAAGCAAACGTACACAACTATATCAAGAAATCAAAAGAAAATGGTTGAAATCGTCAACACAACAATAGTTCTACACGTGAAAGTACTTGACGTAATTTTCAATTGGCAATATGAATTCAGTAGCGTTGTCTAAATTCTTCTAGTTGCTAAGGACATTCTATTAATAGTTACTTTGCTTTCAATAAATTGATTATGTTTTTTGCCTTGAAAAAGTTCAAATTGCAAGAAACGCGTCGGCTAATAAAACAGTTTTCCTATTGTCTTTTATTTTTATACGTATTGTCTTTTTCTAGAGGTTAGCTTCCATATATATATATATATATATATATATATATATATATTTGTGTGTGTGTGTGTGTGTGTGTGTATATATATAGTGATTCTGAAGCCATCTATGTGAAGTATCTTGCTGCAGCCTCAGCTCACTGTATGTGGTTTTTGTAACAAGTACATTTTTATGGGGTGAAGTTGCGAGCCATTAGAAGACCCGGTAACCGCCCTCAAGAAGTGAAAATTGAAATGCTATGGCCATCTTATAAGAGCCAACAATCTTTCCACTGCAATCATAGAATACGACACCCTAGGCAAAAAACGAAGAGGAAGATAGGCAATAAATTCACGCCACTGAGTGAACTGGAAGATCATTCACAGAGACGTAGACATTGGCCAGCAACCGAGATATAATCAGTGCGCTGCGTGAAAATCCTTTAAATGTAAAGTTTTTTGATTTTTGGTTCAACTAAATACGTAACTGTCGCGTGCACACTGTAAGTCCTCTTATATAGCAGTGAGTGCTGGACATACAATATTGTGATAACATCCATAGAATGACATTTTGTCTGTTACGATAAAAAATATAATACACGAAATTAATAATAGCCATTAGCAAATGGAAGTGTACAAGACGCAAACTACGAATTGGAGACGTCGAAATCAAGCAACCATAACAACTGCGATGGAACAGTCCAACATACGAGCTACGAATTCCAGACATCAAAATCAAGCAAGTACGGGAAGATAAACATTTTGATGGGACAGTCCAATATGCGAGCTAGTAATTGGAGACGCCCAAATCAAGCAACTACAGAAACTTACCAATAGGGAAGTATTTAATAGACGATGAAATATGTGTCCTAAAAATTTTAAGTCATATTGCAGTAGCAACAGGTGCCTTCCAAAGACTAAGCAAAGTCTTTTAAAACCGGGAGATTTTGTTGGAAACACAGATAAGTGTGCTCAAGTTTTATTTAATATCTATTCTCCTATATAACAGTAAATGTTGGACGATTTGCTCACTGATAAAGAGGAGACATGAAAAAAAGGAGTTGCCGTTCTACAGAAGTAT